GGAGGAGCGGGAGCCCAGGCCTTCGCTCCCCATAGGGGCCCCGTGTACGTGGAGCGCGCTGGCATCTTGGAAAACTCTTCCCAGGCATAGCATTCTTAAGCACCTTATTAAAAAGTAAAGCAGTGCATACTTCTTAGTAAATTTCATTCAAGAGCGGGAGCAGGTAGTTTGGGGCTCAGGTGGGCAGGTCAGCCCCTCCTTGGCCCCGCGTGATCGGAAGGGGCTTGGCGAGTTTGTTTCCAAGACGAGCAGACGTGCGGATTCAAACCCCATTTCTTTGAGCAGACCGGAGGGCGGGGCAGGAGCGGGTTCCTTCCCCGCATAAAGAATCTCAATGGTCGACACTCATCACCTGTCAGCACCTGTCAGCTGTCACTGCCGGGGGCCAAGCACAGCAGCGGAGCTCCACAGGGCGCCCTGGGCTAGGTGGTCCCCTTAGGCCTCTATGGATGACAGGGGACCCCCCCACTCTGCTGCGTGAGCCCTCAACCCTCGTCCACTCCACTTGAATATTTGCGCTGCCCCTCACCTTGCCAGTCAGCTGCCCTTCGAAGGGCAGCACAGCACAGCTGTCGCCATGCAGCCAGGAGGAAGGGCACTTCCCGAAGTGCTTTTCTGTGGCCTTTACTGATGTCAGAGGCCGAGTGGGGATCCAGCAGGGCCAGCCTGTCACTCGGAGATGTTCAGCTACGCTGGCTGCCTGCCGCTGCCGTGCAAAGGGACACAAACGTAGAGGCCTAAAAGGACATTAAGCTGTTCTTTTCCAGTCCTGGGGGTCAGAAGCCTGACATGGGGTTGAAGTTAGGTGTCGGCATGGCTGGTTCCTTCGGAAGCTCAGAGAAGGATGTTTCCTTGCCTGTCCCAACTTTTAGGGACCACCTGCACTCCGTGGCTCATGGTCCTTGGCTCCGTCTTCAAAGCCAGCAGCGTGACATCTTCCAGTCTCTCTCTGATCTCTGTTCCATCTGCTCACTGTTTTCTCTTGTCTTATAAAGAAACTGTGATTACATGGGACTGACCCCGGTAACCCCAGACCACCTGCCATCACAGGGTCCTTAACCTGATCACATCTGCAAAATCCTTTTTCTTGAGTCAGGCAATGTAGTCACAGGTGCCAAGGATTAGGACATGAACATCTTTGAAGGGTTATTATAATCAGCCTATGCGCGTACATCAGCCTATTTGGTAAATGTTTAGAAGTCAAACATTGAAAGGAAGATAAAAGAAATTAGGTACATCTGTGGCTCGAAAGCTCGCATTTCTAGAGGTGGGATGTCGCCTCAGACTCCGGCTGTGAGGAATTATGTTTATGTTGTTTATGGTAGAGTGGAAGCAACTGTCCTGGAGTAAAACTTAGTTATATTCTTTCCATATTCTAATTACGTTGTAAAATCGAGTCATGTGACGTATTCACTTGTTTTTGTTTTTATTTTGGAAACAGATTCCCAGCAAGAAAAACAGCCTTATTACTGCCCCGGCCACAGCATCCAATAAAATAAAAGTGCCAATCCCTCAGCCCATAGTGAAGAAAGAAAAACGGCAGAATTCCTCCAGATTTAGCATCAGCAATAATAGAGAACTTCAGAAACTACCATCTTTAAAAGGTAATTTTTAACATTTGTCTTTTAAAGTGAAATTTTGCCTCTTTAGGGAGGAGTAACGTTTTGGTAGTTTGCTAGCTTCTTAGACCTTGGCTGCATTCATGTTCTCTAGGTTCATCTTTTCTCTTTTTGAGTGTTTTTTTAGATTGAATGCCATTAACTTATTTACTCAACTAATGCTTTAAACTCCAGAGCTATTTAAGATAAAAACCTAATTGTGAATATATTGTTGGTATAATACACTAAAAAAGTAACAGAGGAAAGACTTAAAGTCTTTTCACACCCATTGTAATTAAGCTAGGCAGTGTTTAAGGAGTTGCTACAAGTGGAGCATTGGGGAAACCTGTGGTGGGACCTCTCGGGCTTTCTGGAATGGCAGGAGTGAGGGCCAGAACCGCAGTCCTGCGCGGACTCTCTGCTGTGGTCACGGGGATCACCTCTACCGGGGTTTCCTGTTGGAGGTGAATCAGGCAACAGTGCTCCGTGCTTCTAATTTTCCGCAAAATGGCTCAGTCTCCCCTTTCCAGCCGAGGACGTTCCGTCCCTAAAAATGCCCCTCTAGGAGACTGAAGTACATAAAACCTCATGGAAGGAACTAGGGTGAGGGCCCCAGAGCCAAACGTGAACTTCCAAAAACCTTTATGTTTGCTGCCCCTGTGTCAGGTGTGATAAACACAGACGTTTGCATACCTTAGATGCGTAACGATGGGTGGGTCTCTACGATGGGTGGGTCTGTACGGTTAGCTTCCATCTCATGCGGACTCAGGGAGAGCCCGGAGGCGTGTCCCAGTGCCTTCCACACCGCGCAGAGCAGAGAGCAGGGCCGCGGTGCAGGTGTGCCCGCCTGGGCACAGGGCGCGGGGGTTGGGGTGGGCGGGGAGGGTGCTGGAGGCGGGTGCTTGTGGTTCGTGGACGCGCTTCCTGCCCCTCCCCTGCCTGGAATCCACTCACTGCAGTGTGAAGAGCTCGCATCCGCGTCCGGCTTGCCTGTGGTTTAGCCTTGCAGTGGGTCATATGCGTGCTGGCTCATTTTTGAGGAGTCTTCCCCCGCAAATCGTCCATGCCTTTCTTACGCCGTTCATTCACTCAGCAAACTCTGTGCTGAGCACCCGCAGAAACAGCCCTGGTCTGGGACTGGGCCTGCTCTGCCGGAGCCTGCTTCCTGTCCCGATGGGGGGACAGCCAGCGGGAGTGGGGTGCCTGCGTCCGATCCCCTCCAGTACCCTCGGAGGCCGGCCAGGGTACCGGGGACGCTGCCGTGGAGGAGGCTTCCCATGACCACTCCCCGGCACCCATCACAGCCAGAGCCTGGCTCCCGCCATCGGGGCCTGTGCCCCGCCCTCGTACCAGGCGCAGAGGCCCAGCCCCGCGTGCGTCCTTCCCGGCCGCCTTTGCCTGTCCCCAGGGGTCCGCTCTGTCCCTCTCCAGGCCTGTTTCGCTAGCCCGTTTTGTCTCTCTCTCTCCGTACCGAGTGATGCTGACATGCAGATGCCCGCACCGTTCCCAGTGGGCACATGTCTCGTCGCGCAGCCGCACGTCCAGGAGGATTTCTCTCCGATCAGACCGGCGCCTTCACTGGTCTCGTTTGATCTGTCTTTCTCGGCTGCTGTCAACATCAGTGCTTCTGTATGTGTGTTAAAATAATTTTGTCTAGTCCAGAAAACCTTATGGAGGGAACTAGGGTGAGGGCCCCAGAGTCGAACGTATGCGAAGTTGTATGCGAAGTTGACGCAGAGTGACACTTGGCGATACGCTTCTCTCATCCAGGAAGGTGATATCGCCTCCATTTCTCTGGGGCTTGCTTTCTGGCTTTTAATAAGATTTTTTTTTTCCAAGTCTCTACCTTTTTATTAAATTTACTCCTAAGTACTTTATAGTTTTCGTTACTCTTGTGACTGGGTTATATTTTTTCCATTTCTGCTTCTAATTAAATCTTGCTAATCTAATGAAAAGTTATTGGTTTTCTAATATTTTCTTATTCTGTCACCTTGCCAACTTTGCTTATTAATCTTAGTAATTTTTAAACTGGCATCTACATATGTAGTCCTGTCATTTGCAATTAGATACTTTCATCTCTCTTCCAATAGTTACGCCAATATATATCAGTTATGTTCATTTTATTATGCCGTTGGGACCAGTAACACAGAGATAACACAGATGAGAGCGCTTCCCTGCTTTCTCCCCTTTTGGTAAAAGGCTTGAGCATTTCCTTGTTTCGTGTGACAGTGGCCCTTGGTCTCTGGTAAGTCGCCCTTTACCCAGAGTGCTGATGTTCTGAGGTCCACCTGCACATGGCTCTGTCCGGCCCCCGTTCTGGCTGGCTGCTGCCATGTTAGTGCACTGCTGCTGAATTTTATCAGATGCCATGTGATTTTACTCCTTGAGATGTTCATATAGTTGTGTGTCGATAGATTTTTCTGATTTCGGACTGTCCCTGGGCGTTACTGGACCGACCCCCAGTATCGTCGCAGTGTTCGATTACTTTTATCTGGTTCAGTTGACTAATTCTCCTGAGTCTCTGCCTCTATTTATTGCATGAGGCTGGTCTGTAGTTTTCTCCCCTTTCACGCTCCTGTGTTTCATCAGATCTAAGCTGTGTCGATACTAGCATGTGCTCTTTCCCGAAGGTGGCCTGCAGGTTCTACGCAGCTCTCTCGGGCTGCCATCTGATGGCAGGGACTGTAAGATGCACCCGCATCTCGGCAGTAATCGGACGTGGATCAGATGTGGAGTAGCCTGTGTGGTCTCGCAGTCCATGACACGGGGTTCAAGGTCATCTTGGAACTCGGCTGGGCCTAGCGCTTTCCTCAGTGATAATTCTGTAGATTCCTTGCATGGGGGTCAATTTAGAGAAGATCGTGTATGAACTCGTACATTATGTCCTTTAATGAATTTTTTCATTTTGTCCACATCTGTGGTGGCGACGTCTCCTATTGAGTTCATTTATTCTTCTGACGATTTTGTTTATCTCGGTATTCTCATTCATTTCCACCTTTATCCTATTTTATTTTATTATTTCCCGATTTGTTAAGTCGAATACAGAGGTCGCTTATTTTCAGTTTGTTTTTAATAATAAAAGAATTTAAAGTATGTATTCCTGAGCATAACTGCAGCTCTATCCATATTAGTCAAATCATAGATTTTTTTTAGTTTTATTGAAGCATGATTTCATACTATAAAAGGCACTCATTGTAAACACCTAGCATAATGTTTTCGAGGCTCACCCACACTGAGTAGTTCGTTTCTTTCTACTGCTGAGTAATCTGTTAGATGAACATCCCACCTTTTGTTTATCTACTCACAAACTGATGAGCCTTTGAGTTGTTTTCTGGCTACTGCAGAGAATGCCGTTATGAACATGCACATCCAGGTCTTTGTCTGAATCCATACTTTCCTCTCTCTTGGGTGGACACCTAGGCGTAGAATCGCTGGCTTGTATGGTAAGCCGATGTCCCGCATTTTTAAGAAACTTGCTATACTGTTTTCCAAGGCAGTTTCACCGTCTTGCGTTCCCCCCGGCAGCACATGAGGGTCTCGGTGTGTCCCATTCTCGCCGGTCCTTGCTGGCGTCCGTCGTTCGGGCTGTGGCCCCTCTCGTGGGCACATGGGGGCATTTCCGTGTGGTTTCGTTTCCCTAATGACCGCGGATGTTGCGGGTCCCTTCGTGTGCCTGTTAGCCGTTTCTGGATCTCCTTCAATGAAGTGTCTGTCACAGTTTGGCCTGTTTTTAAATTGGCCTCCTCTTCTTATCGTCCTTGACCCTTGAGTACTGTGGGGCGTGGGACACTGACCCCCTGTACAGTCAAAAATTCTGTGATCTACTATATTCTTAGAATAAAGTAAGCGAAAACTAATAAAATTAAGAAAGTCGTAAGGAAGAGAAAATGCATTTACAGTATTTATTGGAAGAAATCCCGGTGTAAGTGGACCTGGCAGCGCAAACTCGTGTTGTTCACGGGTCGGCCGGGAACGGTTCTTCACATCGTCCGGTGAGAGGCCTTCATCAGTCAGAGGATTTGCAGATATTTTCTCCCAGTTCACGTCTGGTCTTTTTCTGCTCTTTGGAGCACAAAAGTTTTGAAGTTAAGAAGTCCGATTTATCCCGTTTTTCTTTTATAGATCTTGCTTTTGGTGGCGTATCCAAGAACTCTGCCTAACCCAAGGTCACAAAGTTTTTCCCCTGTGTTTTCTCATAGAAGTTTGATAGGTTTAATTCTATTTAGGTCGTTCCGCTGGTGTGGCCCCTGGTGTCAGCACGCCACTAACACAGCCTAGCGCGTCTTCGTGTCTGGCAGCGTCAGCCCCTCGGCCTTTCCTTCATAACTGCCTCGGTTCTTTTCGTTTCCTTATAAATTTGAGAATCAGCCGTTCTCTAAGAAGTCCTGGTTGCTTTCAGCGGGGAACGGCATTTCAAGACCACTGTCTGGGTGCCAGGATCCCCGTTGCTACTGGAATGGTCTTCATTTACTGGCCTTTTCCGTGGACCAAACTAGAACATACATTTGCTCAGGATATAGCACAGCAGGAGTTCATACGATGTTTTCAATTCGGATTCAGATTGACAGGCATTTATGTAACTTCTGTCTTATGTCTTCTTTCTGTCACTCCAAGATTTCTAGTTCTCAAGTTCATCAGAGAGAGAGAATAGAATTTAAATATCAGATCGTTATTCATTTGCTTTACCCTACGTTACACACAGTATGTTTCTCAGAAAATGACACAAACATCATGACCATGCGATGATTTTAAGGGTAAAGGTTTTTGCATGTTTTCATTTTCTGCGCCTCCCCCCTTTACGGCTTTGCTCTTCCTGCTGTCGGGGCGCACGGCCGTCGCAGACTGTCTCCCCCTCCCATGCCTGTGTAGGCCGCGGCCTCCAGGGTCGAGCCCAGCACGTGTTTACGCGGCGCGCGTCCCGTCGCCTTGGCCTTCTCCGCGGTAGATTTCAACCTCAGACGTCAAGGACTGTCTGGTTAGGAAACATTTCGTTTCCTGGGCGCATT